AAGTAGGGGAAGAAATTGCAGATGTGTTAGTTATAATTTTCCAAAGCTCTCTATAATTCAGGAATTGTGCCCTTGGATTGGAGAATTGCAAATGTCACTCCACTATTTATGAAGGGAGGGAGAGACAAGCCAGGTAACTACACACCTGTCACCTTAACTTCAGATGTGGGGAAGTTACTGAAATTTCTCATCAGGGACAGAGTGGCTGAGCATGTGGACAAGTATGAGCTAATCAAAGAGAGTCAGCGTGGATTAGCGAAAGGTAGGTCATGTCTGACGAATATAATTGAATTTTTTGTGGAGGTCATGAACATGGTGGATAAGAGAGTGTCTATGGATGTTGTCTATATGGACTTCCAGAGGCATTCGATAAGGTTCCACACCAGAGGTTATTAGCAAAAATAAAAGCGCATGGAATTGGTTTGACATGGCTCGGCAATTGGCAGGAAAGAGTGTAGGGTTAGGGGGAATGCTCTCTGATTGGTGAGACGTGACAAGTGGTGTTCCCCAGGGGTCTGTACTGGGGCCTCAGCTTTTCACCACATATATACACATACACACACACACACACATATATATATATATATAAATGACTTGGATGAAGGAATAAAGAGTTTGATATCTGAATTTGCAGATGACCCAAAGTTAGAAAGCACAGTAACTTGGACAGATTAAGTGAGTGGGCAAAACTGTGGCAGATGGAATTCAATGTGGGGAAGTGTGAGATCATCCACTCTATATCCAAAAATAGCAAAACAGAATATTTTCTAAATGTTGAGAAACTGAGAACTGTGGAGGAGCAACGGGATTTGGGTGTCCACGTACACAAATCACTAAAAACAAGCTCACGGGTACAAAAAGTTATCAAGAAGGCTAATGGGATGTTGGTCTTTATCTCAAGGGGCCAGGAATATAAAGGAAGGAAATGATGCTTCAGCTGTATAGAGCTTTGGTCAAACCCCACCTGGAGACTGTGTTCAGTTTTGGGCACTTACCACCTCGCCAAGACATCTCAAAGTGCTTCACAGGATTTTACTGTAAAGTGCAGTGACTGTGTTGTCTTGTTGGCGACCTTGGACCTTGCACAGTGATGACCCACAAACAGCTGTTAAGTGAGCGAGCGATTTTATGTGGGGGATTGTTGGCAGAACATCAGGAGAGATCCCTTTGCTTTTGGAATAGTGCCATGAGATCTTTGACATCCACCTGAACAGGGCACAGACGGGGCCTCGGGTTACCATCTCCTCTGCAGGACCACACCTCCAACAATACGGCACTCTCCCCCAGAACAGCCTTGGGAACATCAGTCTTGACTGTGAGTTCAAAGTCCCTGGCATGGGGCTTGAACCCACAACCTTCTGACTCGGAGGCGAGAGTGTGGCTGACAATGTCAGTCCTCCTGCAGTGATGAGAGTCAATCCCATTTTTTTTCTTGCCCAGTCGGGGTGTCTGACACATGGGGAAACCCATCACCGTTGCTTAAGAGTCTCCGAACCAAGCTGAGAATTCCCTGCCTCCCTACACATGGAAATCCAAGAGATAGGTTGTTGGAATGGAATGCGCTCTCTCACTCTTTCCCTGGAGGGAGGCATCCTTGTAGAGCCTCTGTGTGGCACAAAGCCATGGCTGCTTTAAGGCAGAGACAAGGCCCAGTCTATAGATAGTACCCTGTTGCTGGCCCCTAACCATTGGTGAATGCCAGACAATAATCCCTCTGCTGCTCACCCACACAGTGGGACTGAGGCCCGGGAATACACTGCTTTGTGTCAACGTCTAAAATCTCATGGCTCTCACCTCCTCCACCTACCCGACCTCCCCCTAAAACTCTCTGAACCCGTACGCAACCGAGGCGTCAGGTTCGACCTCCAATTATCCTTCCTCCCCCACATCCGGTCCCTCACCAGCACCGCCTTCTTCCACCTCCGACATATCGCTCGTCTCCACCAATATCTCTCTCCGAAAGCCGCTGAAGCCCTGGTCCATGTCTTTGTCACCTCTCGGCTGGACTACTCTAACGCCCTCCTCGCCGGCTTCCCATCCACTACCATCCATAAAATCCAGATAATGCAAAACTCTGCCGCCCGCATTCTCACCCGCACCAAACTCCCCAATCACCCCAGTCCTGGCCAGACTGCACTGGCTGTCTTTTCCAGAGAGGATCGATTTTAAGACCCTCACCCTTGTCTTCAAATCCCTCCACTCCTGCACCCCCCGACCTCTCTGACCTCCTCTCTCTTCAAAACAGTGGCTGTTGCCTTCGTTCATCCTCGTCCCCCAAGTCCTCCGCTCCACCCTCGGCAGCTGTGCCTTCAGCCACTAAGCCCCGAGGCTCTGGAACTCCCTTCCTCACTCCCTTTGCCTCGTCCCTTCTCTTCTTATCTTCAGGTCTCTGCTGAATACCTTTCTTTCCGACCGGGCCTTTGGTCGCCTTCCTCCCCTTTCCCGCTGGCTCGGCCCGGGGGTCCGTTACTGTGAAGCGCTCTGAGACGCTGTCCAGCGTGGAGGGAACTATATAAATCCAAGTTGTTGTTGTCGTTGACCCACACGGAAACCCAGCGCCGTGCTTAAGAGTCTTCAAACCTAAGCTACAGTACTATGAGTTCCACACATGTATCCGACATACATGTGAACACTTCCTTGTGCCTGGAATGGAATCCGCACACGCGCTCTCTCCCCCCAGAGGCTTTGATAATTAGCATCATTTTATAATAATAATAATCCTCGCATTTGATATAACACCTTATCACATTCTTGAGGCAACTCAAAGCTCTTCACAGGATATGCTGTATATGTTGTGGGAGAAACGAGGCAGACAATTTACGCACAGCAGTTACCCACAAACAGCCATGGAGCAAGTGACAATTTTATTAGCGGATTGCTGGCCAGGACACCGGGGTAGGGTGGGGTGGGGGTGGGGGGAGAGAGAAACTCCTTCTCTTTTTGAGTAGTACCATGGGATCTTTCACGAACACCTGAACACGCAGGTGGGAGCTTGGTTTAAAGGCTCAACTGAAGGACAACACCTCCGACAAGGCAACACATCCCCAGCGCTGCATTATTGGGGGGTCAGCGTAGACTGTGTCATTCCAAGTACGGATGGAGGGCTTGAACCCATAACCTTCTGACTCGGAGGCGAGGCTGTTACCACTGAGCCAGGCTGACAAATAACCAGCTAAAACCATGACATTGAACGCCCTGCCTGGCAAGCTTCCCAGCCAGGCTCACCATATCCGTCAGAGCTTTGCTAACAGGGACAACAGGAGCCGAGTGGGAAAACTCCCTCCCCCCCTCTCCCCTTCCCCCCCCCATCCCCTCTGCCAGTGATCGACTGGTCTGTCCCTCCCAAGTCCAGCTGGGGGGGGGGGGGGGGGGCTGGGCTGGTTTGTCCTCAGCAGCCATGGAAGAGAAGAGCAAAGCCAAGTATCAAGTGGTGTGTGGCTATAGTTAGAGTGTGATTCAGTTTGACACATTAACACGTGCACTTCAGTCCGTGTTTACTCCTCCCTCGTCCCCTCCGCTCCACCATCGGTGGCCGGGCTTCCAGCCTCTACACCCCAGAGCTTTGCACCTCTCTCTCTCCCTCAATGCCTGTGCCTCTGCCTTGCCCCTCTGTGCCCTCTTTTAGTTCACAACTGACCTTCCTCTTCGACTGCGCTTCTGGTCACCTCCCGCCTGGCTTGATGTCAGGCTCCGCCAACCATTAAACGCCCCGATGGTGAAAGGCGCTGTGTAGGTGCAAGTTGTTGTTGTCACTATGAACGTTCAAAGACCGAAATTCCTTCCAACCTCAGGCTGTGAGACGTTTCCTCTAAAAATCCTAAATTATTAATCCTTACATTTGGTCTGGTACCTTTCAAGGGCGGGGGAAATGTTTCAAAGAACTTCATACGATTTGTAAAGTGGAGTGACTGCTTGTTACAACAATAATAACAATAATAATCCTTGCATTTGATATAGCGCTTTTCACGTCGGGAGGACGTCCCAAAGCGCTTCACAGAATATACTGTAAAGTGAATTGACTGTGTATTTTGTGGGCGAACGCGGCAGCCAATTGCGCACAGCAGCGTCCCACAAACAGTCATGGATTGAGTGACCAAATTATTATTAATTTTAATTTTTTGGGGGAGAGATTAATACCCCCAGAAAGCAATCTGCCAATCGACTAACAATCGGGTTCCTACTCACTGCTGGTAAACAGAGGCGAGTGGAGTAAGGAAACTTGCCTAAGGTTTCTCCCTGCCTGGGAATCGAACCCAGGTCCTCTCACTTGTGAGGCGAGTGCTCTCGCCATTACGCCATGGGATATAGGTGTGTAGTTGATGTGTTGGAGGCTGGAGTCCAACCTGGGATATGGGTGAATCTCTACACCCCAGAGCTTTGCACCTCTCTCCCTCAAAGTCGGAGTCCGTTGTCCTTTGGGATCAGGGAGAGTGTTTGTAGATGAAGAATCTAAAAGATGTGGGAGAATGGGATTAGAGTAGTGAGCCTCTCAACTGGGGGAGCGAGCACCAGCGCGGGTCCTGATGGGAAAAGAACAGGGCAATTGGGATTTGAATAACAATTTATGTTTGACCCAACGCCTTTCACACTGGGAGGCTTTCAGCCACTCTCTCCCTCAATCCCTCCGCCTCGCCCCCTTCCTCCTTCCAGATCACGCCCGAAGACCTTCCTCTTCCACCGTCCTTACAGTCAACTCCCTCCCTCCCTCCCTCCTCGCCGGCTCCAGCCAGTGTTAAGCGCTCTGAGACTCTACCCAGTATAAAGGACGCTGTGTGAACTGGGCAAGTCGTATTTCCGTTGGGAAATATTTTTCTGGGGATACGGTGTGTAGTTTGGGGCACGACATGTCAAGCCACCGCCAGGATAGTGGACGGCAAAGTGGATGGACCTTTGCGCCAGCAAATTCTTCTGTTGTTGTTGTTCTTGGTGTTGTTGTTGTTGTTGTTGACGTGGTGACTCTCTCACTCTCTGACTCTGGAATCTGCTCTCTTCGTTTGCTGGAGGTACTTTGAGCTGACCGAGGGGTCGTATGATTACAACTCGTCCACCTGCCGTGAACTCCGCAATGACATCACCGAGGTCAAAGTGCTCTCCATGTAAGTGAAAGACGCTGTACAAATGCCATTTTGTTGTTGTTGTTGTTGTTGTTGTTGTTGTTGTTGTTGTAAGGCCGGCCTGGCTGGCACAGGGCACAGGGCATTCTCTGCCCTTTCTAGCCCGTTTCTAGTGTTAATTAGCCCAACTCCACAAGTCAACACAAGCGTTCATAAATAATTGTAATAATAATTATCTTGGCTTTTGATACAGCGCCTCTTCACGTCGTTGAAACGTCGTAAAGAGCTTCACGGAACACACTGTGAAGCGTAGTGACTGTGTATATTTGTGGGCAGAGCGCGGCAGCCAATTGCGCACAGCAGCGTCCTACAAAACAGTCGTGGATTGAAGTCACCAAATATTTTTTAAGAAACATTTGGAGGAGGGATTATTACCCCAAATAAAATAGACGGATACTCTCTCATGTTTTCTCGTTCTCTCTCTCACATGTTGCCCCCTCTTTCTCACATTCTCACTCTCTGTTTCTCTCTCTGTCTGTCTGTCTGTCTGTCTGTCTCTCTCACTCAATCTCTATCTCTCATGTGCCCCTCTATCCCACTTTCTGACATTTCTCCCCCTCTCTCACGAACTCTCTCTCTTTCTCTCACACTCTCTCTCTCCCTCTTTCACACTCTCTCTTTCATCCTCTCCTTCCCTCTCTCTCACACACTCCCTCTTTCTCTCCCTCGTTCACTTTCCCTCTCTCTCAGGGTGAAGCAGTCGGAGCTGTTTGAACGATGGCGAACACTGCAGCTGTGCAAGTGGGAACTCAACAAAACCGAAGCCAATACCTTCAGGTCAGCAGAGAGAGAGAGAGAGAGAGAGAGCGCACAGGGGAGTGTATGTAAGAGTGTGTATGTGTGTGTGTGTGTGTCTGAGAGTATGTGTGTGTGTATGAGTGTGTGTGTGTGTGTGAGTGGCGGTGTATGAGAGTGTGTGTGAGAATATGAATGTATGTGTGTGAGAGTGTATTGAGTGTGTGAGAGAGTGTGTGTGTGAGGGGTGTGTGTGTGAGAGGGGTGAGAGGGTGTGTGTGTATGAGTGTGTGTGTGACAGGGTGTGTGTGAGAGTGTGAGTGTGTGTGTATGTGTGTGTGAGAGTGTGTGAGAGGGTGTATGTATGTGTATGTGTGTGAGAGTGTGTGTGGGTACGGGTGTGTGAGAGTATGTGTGGATATATGTGTGTGTGTGAAAGTGTGTGTGTGTAAAAGTGTATGAGTGTGTGTGAGAGTGTATGAGTGTGTGTGTGAGAGTGTATGAGTGTGTGTGTGAGAGTGTATGAGAGTGTGTGTGTGGGGGTTTATATAAGTAAACCTTTGAAGGTGGCCGGACAAGTAGATAAAGCTCTCCCTCTTACGCTGTCACTCACTCCCCCTCTCCCGATTTCTCTTTTTCGCAGCTGTAACCCTCTCTCTCTCTCTCTCTCTCACTCCCTCTCTCCAAGTCTCTTCTCTCGCAGCTGTAACACACACACTCACTCTCTCTCTCTCTCACTCACTCACACGTTCCCTCTCTCGCTGCTGTAACACACTCTCTCACTCACTCACTCACTCACTCACTCATTCTCTCTCTCTCTCACTCACTCACACATTCTCTCTCTCTCTCACGGACTCACTCACACGTTCCCTCTCTCGCTGCTGTAACACACTCTCTCACTCACTCACTCACTCACTCACTCATTCTCTCTCTCTCTCACTCACTCACACATTCTCTCTCTCACGGACTCACTCACACGTTCCCTCTCTCGCTGCTGTAACTCTCTCTCACTCACTCACATATTCTCTCTCTCTCTCCCGGACTCACTCACACGTTCCCTCTCTCGCTGCTGTAACACACACTCTCTCTCACTCACTCACACATTCTCTCTCTCGCGCACTCACTCACACGTTCCGTCTCTCGCTGCTGTAACAAACGCTCCCTCTCTCTCTCTCTCTTTCTGTCCCGCTCCCCCTCTCCAGGTCTCTCCTCACTCGCTGCTGTAATGCTCCCGCCTTCCTGTTCACCACACAGAAGAACACTCCTCAGGGGATGAAACTCAAATACGAGGTGGACAGCAGTGGTTTCCTGCCCATCGACACCGAGATCTTCAAACTCTTCCCCAAGGTCCGTGTGACGTGTTCACCCATCCGCGTGTGCACACGCGTGCAGACCCTCGCAGACACGTGATATAATGTGAGACCATGACACTGACATTGACTGTTGCAGAAATTGACTGCTGTTATCGCCTATAACCTACACAGTCACTACACGTGACAGCGACGCCCAAGTCCTGACATTTACAACGCCGCACCAGACACGTGTCAGCCTGGCTCAGTGGTGCCGCTCTCGCCTCCGAGTCAGAAGGTTGCGGGTTCAAGCCCCACATCGGGACTTGGAATCGCACCATCGAAGCTGACTGTCCAACCCCCCCCCCCCAAACCACACAGTCACTCCACTTTACAGTAACTCCTGTGAAGCGCCCGCAGACGTGATAAGGCACGGTTTCAAAAGCAAAGATTATTATTATTATTATTATTATATAAAGACGTTGCTTGTTGTAACGATGGTTTCTGTTGGCGTCTCTTCCCCCCCCCCCAGGAAATGCCCTATTCCCGCTCCCAGTTCAAGAAATGTGCCGTGGTCGGGAACGGAGGGATCCTGAAGAAAAGCGAGTGTGGGAAGGAGATCAACTCGGCCGATTTTGTCTTCAGGTGACCATTCAACAACAACGATTACACCCGTATAGCGCCTTTCACTCGGGAGCACGTCACAAGGACAAGGCGCTGGACCGTCAGGAATCCGCACCCAGATCGGTAGCTGCGGAGGGTGAGGGGTGGTGGGGGGATAGAGGGTGACTGAAGGTTCGGTCGAAGAGGAGGGGTCGTGACGGAGGCAAGGGAGGGGCTGAGGTGAAGAGACTGTGGGATGAAGGTCCAGAGATTGGGGGCAGAGAGGCTGAAGGTCTGATGGTGGGGCGGGAGGGGGATGTGGAGCAGGCTGGAGCCCGCTGAGCGGAGGGAGCGGACATGTGGGTAATTGGCTCCCTAACTAATGGGGCTTTGGCTTACAGGGTAACAGGATCTAAGTGGGAAGAGGACCCAGCCCCCAGATTGTCCCCGTTTATCTGATGGGGGGTGGAATCACTGTCTGGCAACTTACGAAACCACACATTTTTCACCCTTTAATTTTTCCCATCGCCATTGAGCTGAGTGAATGATGAGATCATCTAAACAGGAGCTACACCACTCAATCAATTGAGTTTAGATCCCAACACGTCAGGCTGTGCAGTGCTCTGGTCAGACCACACCTACAGTACTTATGTGGAGTCCTGTAGCGTATAGTAATAATAATAATAAAATACTTGCAGTTGATACAGCGCTTTATCACATCCTTGAGACGTCTCAAAGCGCTTCACAGAATATACTGCAAAGTCAACTGACTGTGTGTTTTGTGAGTGTAGGGGTAAGAGCCCTCGGCTCTCAAGCGAGAGGATATGGGTTCGATTCCTGGGCAGCGCAAAACCTTAGGCAAGTTTCCTTACTCTGCACACCTGTGTTTCCCCAGCAGCAAGTAGGAACCCGGTTGTTAGTCAATTGATAGATCGCTTTCCGGGGATAAAACATAATTTGGTGACTGAATCCAAGACTGCTGTCCGCGTTTCACCCACAAAGCATACAGTCAATTTGCTTTACAGGACTATATCAAATGCACAGATTATTATTACTGCAAACAGTTCTGGTCACCCCGACATGAAGGCCACAGAGACTGTGTAGAGGAGAGCAATGAGGCTGATCCCCAGTGTTGGAGGAATGAGCTGTGAGCAACGGTTAGACAAGCTCAGGCTCCAGTCTTGGGAGAAGGCGACTCAGAGGAGACCTTATAGAGATGTTAACATATTAAATGGGATTGGTAAATAAACCCAGATCAATACTGGCGGATGCACTGAGAGGATAGTACAAGAGGCCGCAGGTTTAGAGTTGATTTCAGGACAGACACCAGGAAGTGTTTCTTTACCCAGAGGGTCATTAACAACTGGATCAGGTGGCCAGGAAGGGTGGCTGAGGCCGGGACATTGGGACTCATTTAAAAACCAGCTTGATGGATGCTGTGATGGAGGGAGTGGGGGAGGGGGTTGTGGAGGGCTGACATTGGATGGTCCAAAGGGTCTTCTTCAACCAGAACAATCTGTGACTTCATGAAAGCAGTGCTCAGATCATAGATCCAGTGACTGACTGGTTGGTACAGACAGACCCCCCCCAGACCTCCCCCCAGTGAATTACTGGAATCTAATCCAGAGTTTGTGGGGAGTGGGGCCATACACAGAATAACACTACAGGCTGGAATCTAACCTTTGCTGGTGTCTCCTGCTTCAGGTGTAACTTGCCCCCCATCTCTACGAAATATACAGATGACGTCGGTGTGAAGACGGATATCGTGACGATTAACCCAAGTATCATAAGCGAGAGGTGAGTTGATGTCACTGTGTCTCTAACCCTGACCTGGGAGTGTGGACGGACGCACAGTGTAGAGAGAGCTTTACTGTGTTTCTAACCCTGACCTGGGAGTGTGGACGCACAGTGTAGAGAGAGCTTTACTGTGTCTCTAACCCTGACCTGGGAGTGTGGACGCACAGTGTAGAGAGAGCTTTACTGTGTCTCTAACCCTGACCTGGGAGTGTGGACGCACAGTGTAGAGGAGCGTTACTGTGTCTCTAACCCTGACCTGGGAGTGTGGACGCACAGTGTAGAGGAGCGTTACTGTGTCTCTAACCCTGACCTGGGAGTGTGGACGCACAGTGTAGAGGGAGCGTTACTGTGTCTCTAACCCTGACCTGGGAGTGTGGACGCACAGTGTAGAGGGAGCGTTACTGTGTCTCTAACCCTGACCTGGGAGTGTGGACGCACAGTGTAGAGGGAGCGTTACTGTGTCTCTAACCCTGACCTGGGAGTGTGGACGCACAGTGTAGAGAGAGCTTTACTGTGTCTCTAACCCTGACCTGGGAGTGTGGACGGACGCACAGTGTAAAGGAGCGTTACTGTGTCTCTAACCCTGACCTGGGAGTGTGGACACACAGTGTAGAGGGAGCGTTACTGTGTCTCTAACCCTGACCTGGGAGTGTGGACACACAGTGTAGAGGGAGCGTTACTGTGTCTCTAACCCTGACCTGGGAGTGTGGACGCACAGTGTAGAGGGAGCGTTACTGTGTCTCTAACCCTGACCTGGGAGTGTGGACACACAGTGTAGTGACTGTGCGTTACTGTGTCTCTAACCCTGACCTGGGAGTGTGGACACACAGTGTAGAGACGGTGCGTTACTGTGTCTCTAACCCTGACCTGGGAGTGTGGACGCACAGTGTAGAGGGAGCGTTACTGTGTCTCTAACCCTGACCTGGGAGTGTGGACCCACAGTGTAGAGGGAGCGTTACTGTGTCTCTAACCCTGACCTGGGAGTGTGGACGGACGCACAGTGTGGAGGGAGCTTTACTGTGTCTCTAATCCATTCTGACACCTGAAAAGAAAGCTCTAACTGCAGGAAGCTGCCACCAGGGGCGCTGGTTCACTGTAAACAGGAACCTGGCAGCACAGAGAGTGACAGAGAGAGAGTGACGGAGGGAGAGAGAGTGACGGAGGGAGTGACGGAGACGGAGGAAGTGACGGAGACAAAGAGGGAGATAGAGAAAGTGAGAAGGAGAGAGAAATACAGAGGGTGATAGAGAGAGAGAGGGAATTGATAGAGAGAGAGAGACTGAAAGAGTGATAGAGAGTGAGAGAGAGACGGAGTAATACAGAAGTAGAGCGAGACAGTGATAGAGAGAGAGAACAAAACAGAGAGAGTGATACAGAGAGAAAGTGAGAGATTTAAAGAGAGAGAGACAAAGAGGGAGAAACACAGGGTGACTGTTGGTTGGCAGGATCTGGGAGGTGGGGTTTTGGGGGTGAGCTCGGTCGATGATGTCCTCTCTCTTCCCCACCCCCTCGCTCTCTCTCTCTCTCTCGCCGGAAGGTTCCAGAAGCTTGACAAGTGGCGGCGGCCGTTCGTGGAGCTGCTGCAGGTGTACGAGAACACCTCGGTGGTGATGCCGGCTTTCTACAACACCCGCAACACCGACGTGTCGCTGAGGGTCCGGTACGCTCTGGACGACTTCTCCGCCCCTCAGGACCTCTTCTACTTCCACCCCCGGTACCTGGAGAACGTGGCCCGTTTCTGGGGCCGGCAGGGGGTGAGGGCCAAGCGCCCCAGCAGCGGGCTGATGCTGGTCACGGCCGCCATGGAGCTGTGCCAGGAGGTCCACCTGTACGGGTTCTGGGGCTTCCCCATGGACCCCTCGGGCATCCACATCACCCACCATTACTATGACAACGTCAAACCCAGGCCCGGCTTCCACTCCATGCCTAACGAGATCTTCACCTTCCTCCACATGCACAGCCGGGGGGTCCTGCAGGTCCACACCACCCCCTGTAGGTGACGGGGAGGAGGGGGAGAGGGGGTGGAGGGCAGCGGAGGGGGTAGGGGTCTTTCTTTATCGATCTCCTGCCGCCCTTCATTGGAGGTTTCTGCCCTCTGGCTTTTTTTTTTGTATCTTCACGGACTTGAGTTGACCGTGGTCTTCAGTGTGTGGATGGCTGAGGACAGTCGGCTGACATTTTTATCTCCCTGCCCACCCACCCCATTGCTGTACTCCTTCCCCCCCCCCCACTCTCTCCCTTCACCGCCCTCTCTCCCTCAACCCCCTCTCCCTCCCCCATCCCCTTCTCCCTCCCCCTCTCTCTTCCTCCCTCCCTCCCCCATCCCCCCTCTCCCTCCCCTCCTCCACTCTCCTCTCCCCCTCTCTTCCTCCCTCTCCCATCCTCTCTCCTTCCCATTCCCCCTCTTATTCTCTCCAACCCCTCCCTCTCTCGCGCTCTCCCTCCCCTTCTCTTTCCCCCTCCCCCCTATCACTCTCTCCCTCCCCCCTGCCCCGCTCGCCTCACGACTGGAGACCTGAACGATTCCATCGGCTCAGACATTTCACTCTCCTGAGGAAGCTCCAGACGAGGGGAATGTCTCAGACTTCCACCCCATCTCTCCTTAGCATCTCACCCCTCCTGCAGATAGCTGGGATTCTTCCCGCTCGGCGCCTGTTTCCTAAAGCCCTGGGTGTTGGGTGGTCCTCACTGGACAAGCAGCGGGGAACCTCCTAATTGATTCTGGCTCATCAGCAGGACTTGGAAGGACAGTCCAGTCTGGATAAGCAGTGGGAAGGCTTGCCAGACAATGTGCTCAATGGCAAGCTATGCAGTTTTTAGCTGGTTAGACTCGAGCAGTCACCCCAACGCACACTCTGGGGTCCCCAAGCCTTGGGTCTCGCCAACCTGCACCTAATAATCTCCGGAGTTAATAATAATAATTGGATGTGTCACTCCAGGGAGAGAATGCGCAATCCATTTCAGACACGTGGAGATTTCATACGTGGGTCTCTCAGTCTGAATTGGACACCGGGGGGTGTCAGAAATTGACTGACCTCAAAAAGAATCCCAACCTCTCAGTCTCTCCTCCCAGCTGTACCCATTCCTCTCCCGTACCCTCCCCACGAACATATATGCTGGTCATGTCGAGTGGAGTCCCGTAGTGTAGTGGTTAGAGCACTCGTCTATCAAATGCAAGGATTATTATTATTCCGCTTCCAATCCCCTCTCGCCTCAAATCCATCGCTTGCCATTTTTTTGGTATATTTTTCTACCTTTTCCACGAACCTTCTCTGCGCTATTTATCACCTCACCTCCTGCACCAGATCATTGACCTGCACTAAGCTCCTGATAACTTGACCCTGGCTTAATTTGTCACCGTGCTGTCAATATCCTGGCCCCGTTTATTCATGTATTTATACATCTGCCTAATTCACCGCTCCTGATAACTAGTCACTGAGCCCTTTAAACTCGGAGCGATGTGTTATCAGGAGTTGTAATTGTCTGTGTTGTACTCCACACAAGTCTCTCTTCCATTCCCCTCTCTTCCCTTCTCCCTCGTGTCCACGTTGAGTTTCCTCTTATGAGAGAACCAGAGAGATCCCGACAGTGTTCCCGAGCCGGGCCGGGAACCGGAGAAACATCCCTTTAATTCCCGCTCTCTCTATCGCGTGTCCTTCACCCATTCCTCTGTCCACTTTCATCGATTCCGTGCCTTAATTTTGTCCACGCGTCTCTTATCAAACGCCTTCCTCAAAACCCCAACCACCATCTAGCTGCAATGTCTGTGGTCATCGCGCTGCGAGAGGCTACCCCGTGTGAAGGACGCTGTCGTTGTTGTATCTCCCGCCCCCACCTTCCTCCCATCCCCCAGCCATACTCTAGGTTACTTACCTCTCCACTTGCCCTCCACGGTCTCGCTCCTCCCTACCGCTGTGACCTCCTAAAACCCTACCAACCTCGCCGCTCCCTCTTCTCCATGTGCTCTGGCCTGCTCCATGTCCCCAATCTCGCCCGCCCCACCATCGGCGGTCGGGCCTTCAGCTTCTCTGCCCCCACCCTCTGGAACTCCATCCCACAATCCCTCCGCCTCGCTCCCACACTTGCCTACTTCAACGTCCATCTCAAGACCATCCTCTTTGACCGCACCCTCGGTCACTCTCCTTTCCCTGTCTACAGTCCAGGCCTCTGGAACACTGCGGGTTCCACATCTACGTACTTCTGTAGAGTAAAAGAAGCCGTAGCGTAGTGGTTACCGTACTCGCCTCGTAAGCGAGAGGACACGGGTTTGATTCCCGGGCAGGGTGAAACTTTAGGCAAGTTTCCGCACTCCATACTCCTGGTAATAATCCCTCAAGAAAAGTAAAAAATAAATATATCAATTTTAAAAAATAATAATATGGTCACTCAATCCACGAGTGTTTATGGGACGCTGCTGTGTCCAATTGGCTGCCGCGTTTCACCCACAAATATACAGTCAATTCACTTTACAGTATGTTCTGTGATGCGCTTTGAGACGTCTCGAAGAAGTGATGAGACGCTATATCAAATGCAAGAATTATTATTATTAAAGGGCGGTGAGTTTTCCACGGACTCTTACAAACATGCAATGAAACAGCTTCAGAGTTAAGGCAACGTTTCAGAATTTGCCAAACTCAGAACGTCCTAAAATGCTGCGAAACCGGAGCGAGGGTAGACGAGGGCGGGAGGGGTGGGGCGGGTGGTGTTAGGAGCTTGGAAAAGCTCATGTTTCTCCTTTCTGAGGACACAAGTCATTTCGAGCTGTTTGTCGAATGTATCGAAGAAAAGGGAGTCATGTTAAGAGGGTCTAAGATTTCAGTCTGCGCCCCGCAAGGCTGACAGCTAGGGTCTGAGTCACTGTAATATCTCACAGGTTGTTTGTCAGCCGTCCTGGTGTTAAATTACTGCCTCGCTTTGTGTTGCACTGTGTGTGACCGTCCCCAGTAGCGCCTCACCCCAGGGTCTGACCCGCAGGGGTGCAATGCTTCGGTTAATACCGTTGAGTGAAAGTCACGTGGACGTTGAAGGCCTTGGTGAGGGTGCAAAGGAGATGTAATAATCCTTGCACTTGATATAGACGTCTCAAAAGCGCTTCACAGGAAACGCTGTAATGTGAATTGACTGTATTTTTTTGTGGGCGAAGCGCGAAACGCAGCCAATTGTGCACAGCTGTGTCCCACAAACAGTCGTGGATTGAGTGAACCCAATTTTTTTTNGAAAGGATTATTAACGCTGGAAAAGCGACCCAACAATCAATGTACCGATAGATAAACAATACAATGCAAAATTGCATTTACTCAGCGCCTTTCACGTCGGGAGGACGTCCCAAGGAGCTGGACAGTCAGGGATTTGGACCCGAGCTGGGGGAGGGCGGTTGGGATAAGGGAGGCTGGAGTGCAGGAAGGTGACCGTAGGCGCGGTCGAAGAGGAGAGTCTTGAGACTCGCCTTGAAGGAGGCAAGGGAGGGAGAGAGGTGAAGGGACTGTGGGATGGAGTTCCAGAGGGTGGGGGCAGAGAGGCTGAAGGCTCAATCGCTGATGGTGGGACATGGAGCAGACTGGTGACTGCTGAGCAGAGGAAGCTGACAGGTTGATAAGGGGGGTCAAACAGGTCAAACAGAGGTGTGTGGAGTAAGGAAACTGGCTTAAGGTTTCGCCCCGCTCGGGAATCTAATCGGGGTCCTCTCGCTAGTGAGGCGAGTGCTCCAACCACTATATTACTGGAGTCTTGACTCCATGAGGGACTTCAGTTATGTGGCGAGATGAGAGAAGCTGGGTTTTTCTCCTTAGAGCAAAGAAGGTTAAGGAGAGAGTTAATAGAGGTGTTCAAAATGATAAGGGGTTTTGATAGAGTTGACAGGGAGAAACTGGCGGGCGGGTCAGTAACCGGGGGACATAGATTCAAGATAATTAGCAAATGAATCAAAGGGGAGATGAAGAGAATGTTTTTCCGCAGCGAGTTGTTCCAATCTGGAACGCGCTGCCTGAAAGCAGATGAAAGCAGATTCGATAATAGCTTTCAAAAGGGAAGAGGTGGTGGAGTGGGTCTAGTTGGCAGCTCTTTCAAAGGTCAAATGGCCTCCTTCTGTGCGTTAAGATTCTATGAACACTATTAGGAAAACAGAAGGGACTTTCTCTCTCCTGGTATTCTGGCCAACAATCCCCTCACCTTGTAATTAAGTGTTTGTAAATTGCGCGGGTTGAGGTTAGAGGGAATGTGATGCTGAATTTGCCAACAAACACATTGTATTACTGTAAAGCACTTTAAGATGTTTTGATATTATGAGAGCCGCGTGAAATAAGAATGATTGTTATTATTAATATCTGGATCATGGTAAATGGACTGTGTGCCGGAGGCCACAATTATCATCTGAAGATCTTAAATCCAGTCTTGAATGTTTTTCCGCAGTTGATAAAAAACGTGACTTGTCAAACTGGCTCAGTGGTAGCGCTCTCTCTCCCGCCTCTGAATCAGAAGGTTTCAAGCCCCGCATCTGGATTTGGAATCACATAGTCTAAGCTGACGCTTCAATGCAATGCGGGGGTGGGGTGGAGGGGGTTATTGTGGGAGGTGCCGTCCTTTGGGGTAAGACTTTAAACCGAGGTCCCGTCTGTCTGTTTGGGTGGGTGTTGAAATCTCAGGCCGCTATTTGAAAAGAAAAGGGAATTTCTCTCTCTCTCCCAGTGTCTTGGCCAACAATCCCCCAGATAAAATCATTCACTCACTCCATGGCTATTTGTGAGACATCGCTGTGCATAAATTGCCTGCTGCGTTCGCCTACAATATACACAGTCGCTGCACTTTACAGTAAATCCTGTGAAACGTCCTCCAGATGTGAAAGGCGCTGGATCAAATGCACCGATTATTATTATTTGAACCAGTTTCTGAATTTTTCCACAGTTGCGTGGCAGCTTGTGTTTATGGACAATAAGAGGTTTGACTTCCACCCATACCCTGATCCGAGCAAAACCTTGGGCAACTTTCCTTACTCCTCACGCCC